ATATATATATATATATATTAGAGCATCTCTAATAATAAAAGCTAGTCTAACAACCTCAAAAATAAAATTCTCTATTTTAGCTACTCAAATTTTGATTACACACTCCATATTCTATATTTTAACTACTCTTTTAAATATTATTTCTCATATTTTGTACTATTGTTAAGAGCATTGGAAGGAGAGGGAGAGAGAGAGAGAGAGAATGAAAGGAAAAACAAAGAGTGGACATGAGAGATGAGAAAAGATAGTAGGAGAGGGAAAAAATTATAAACTATTTATACAAATTGCTATCACTATAGCAAAAAATTATTTTAGAACATCTGAAAATGTTACAGAGTATAATTTTTGTCTTTAGTTAGCTAAATTTTAACTATTTTAGAGTTTTACATGTATTGTTGAAGATGTTCTTAAATTGAAGGGGTGATCCACGAGTAGTCTTTATCAATGTGAAGAATATTTCTATTGGGATACTAACACAATTCTAACACTACCAAAATACCTATACTCAGGGATTCCAAAAAAATGGGGGTACTTATGCTCCGCGACTACATTTAAGGGGGAGTATTAGCCCCATACTCATCCCTTAAACTTGAGCCTGGGATAATAATTCTTTACAAGACTCACCAACTTGATATGATACCCATAAGAAGTTAATCACTATCCTTTTAACCTTTGATATTTGCAGATATACTCACAAAAGAGTGGATTTAAGAACTTAGCCTACATTTGGGTCAACATTTGAGGCAACGGTTTAACCCCCTTCCCCCTATAGATCCGTCATTGCACTCGAGTTAGGGCTGATAATTTTTAACACAACCTGTCCACTTGATATTATACCCACATGGAGTTCGATGTGATGGAGTTTGATGAGTACACAACTAACCTTGATGAGTTCTAGCCATAGATGAATTGTCCTGCCACACCCATTTAATAAATAGATCATCATGAATCCAACAACAATTCCTACTATACCAGTCTATAAATGAATTCATACGGATTGAACCAGCTTTAATACGATGCGAGACTTAAAATCCCAATCCAACATGGCCCATTTAATGGTGCTAACTTGAGTGTAATTAAGTAACTTACCTAGTGTGTCTCCAACCTTGAATACCTCATCCTTAGCCCAAGCCTGATAATCGTGGCCAACGGTCCAACCGCTGGCACCTCCCACCCAAAACTCATTGGCCATGGCTGCTGTTGGGGGAGTGACTGCCACAATGGCAAGGATGACAAGCTACTTATTTGAAGCCATGCTTCACTTCATCAAGTTCTGCTATTGTCTTGAATGTACTCTGATGGCAGCTTGTGCTATGGGGTTGCAATTACGCTATGGATTTATAGTAATTCTCTTGAGAATTTTCGCAAACACCATGTGTAGTTAAGTGAAAAACATTGGGATTTACGTACCAATGCATACATAAGTTTAAACAAAAGTGGGTGGTGCAAGCTCTGAAGGTGATCCCATTGGAATGTCCCATTTAGCTGAAGAGTGATGCTATTTGAACGTCCAGACATTTCTTACATTTGTAAGTGTTTTCATCACTGTTTTGAATGTTTTTATTACTGTTGCAATACCCAAAAAATGATAAAAATAACTATCAGTGATAAATTAACAACCAAAGGGATAATTTTTTTTATATCGAAAAAAAATAATAAAAATAATTACCACAACAGTGATAAAAATACTTATAAAACTGATAAATCAACCCGTGATAAATTTTTTAGTTATAAAATAGTCCATAAAAATAACCATTAAAATAGTAAATTTACGAGGTACGATATTTTTTTTTTTTAAAAATACCGTAATCAAGTCCTAATTTTTATGTCATTGTTATTGTTGAGATCAGTGTCGAGCCGACATTGAGGTAGGGAATATAAGTCCCCATTCCCATCATTATCATTTTTTCCACTGTTACCGTTGTCATCTTTTGGTTTCTTTGCCTCTTGTTAAAGGGAAAGATTACGGATTATAATTTTTTAACATTAAATTATTATATTTTGAACTGTAAGATATTTGTAAAGAACATGACTGAAAAAAAATTATGGTCGATAATAAAATTTATAACTTTTAAAGGTTAAATTATATATATATATATATATCTATATTATTATAAAATATCAATAAAAGTTACAAACTTTTGATTACTAATAATAATCTTAATAAAATAACTAATGTCAATATTATCCTTATAAAATTATAATAACAATATTAGTATTGTTTTATTTGTGCCTCCACCTAATAAAGACACTTTTGTGTCTATAAAACTTTTGGGGAAAGGCTATAGTACTGTCGGTTGTACTGTACCGAAAGTTATAATTTTTTAAAGTTAAATTACAATTTTTTTATAGTATAAGTTATAATTATGAAAAATTGAGATCAATACCGAAAATTCATTATCAATCACGAGTGTTTGTGATTGATCATAATTTTTTCTTGAACATTTATAACTTCTTTTCTCGAATTTATAACTTAAATATAAAAATAATAATCACCGATATCGGTACTAATATTTTTTTTTCGATATCGAAGATGTTCCCGCTGCACCTTATCTATTTCCGGTCTTCCTCATAATCTGCAACTTCTATTCTATAACAGTAGAAACTCTATAGATATTATAGAGCTATTTCTATTATGGGCCTAAGGTCTATTTTTATTTTTTTATTGTTGTTGCATCTGTCATATAATGGAATACACATGTGGGTTAGTGAATGCAAGGTTATTGGTCTGCTCTGACACAGTGGAAGAAGGAATACAAAGAAAATATGCGGATAGAACAAAGGTATTTTAAATCTAAAATCTAAAAAAAAAAAGAACAAAAGAATATCTCTGAAAAAGTATATTATTCAATAAATAATTTATATTACATAAAAAAATATATATATATGAACGATCAAAACCCTAATCGTTCTCATAATAAAAACAAAATCCCTAATTATACAAAAATTGTCAAAAATAAAAAAATTACAATCTAACTAATTAACATAAAATCACGTGTTGTCTGAAGTCTAACAAAAGTGACGGCACTGAATTCGAAATCTCTTATAATTTATTATTAATTTTTGATTTTTTTCCTCAAACGGACTTTGAGAGCCTAAATGATAGAATTCGGGTCAAAATNACAATCCAACATGGCCCATTTAATGGTGCTAACTTGAGTGTAATTAAGTAACTTACCTAGTGTGTCTCCAACCTTGAATACCTTATCCTTAGCCCAAGCCTGATAATCGTGGCCAACGGTCCAACCGCTGGCACCTCCCACNGTTTTATTTGTGCCTCCACCTAATAAAGACACTTTTGTGTCTATAAAACTTTTGGGGAAAGGCTATAGTACTGTCGGTTGTACTGTACCGAAAGTTATAATTTTTTAAAGTTAAATTACAATTTTTTTATAGTATAAGTTATAATTATGAAAAATTGAGATCAATACCGAAAATTCATTATCAATCACGAGTGTTTGTGATTGATCATAATTTTTTCTTGAACATTTATAACTTCTTTTCTCGAATTTATAACTTAAATATAAAAATAATAATCACCGATATCGGTACTAATATTTTTTTTTCGATATCGAAGATGTTCCCGCTGCACCTTATCTANAGCTCTCTTGAGAATTTTCGCAAACACCATGTGTAGTTAAGTGAAAAACATTGGGATTTACGTACCAATGCATACATAAGTTTAAACAAAAGTGGGTGGTGCAAGCTCTGAAGGTGATCCCATTGGAATGTCCCATTTAGCTGAAGAGTGATGCTATTTGAACGTCCAGACATTTCTTACATTTGTAAGTGTTTTCATCACTGTTTTGAATGTTTTTATTACTGTTGCAATACCCAAAAAATGATAAAAATAACTATCAGTGATAAATTAACAACCAAAGGGATAATTTTTTTTATATCGAAAAAAAATAATAAAAATAATTACCACAACAGTGATAAAAATACTTATAAAACTGATAAATCAACCCGTGATAAATTTTTTAGTTATAAAATAGTCCATAAAAATAACCATTAAAATAGTAAATTTACGAGGTACGATATTTTTTTTTTTTAAAAATACCGTAATCAAGTCCTAATTTTTATGTCATTGTTATTGTTGAGATCAGTGTCGAGCCGACATTGAGGTAGGGAATATAAGTCCCCATTCCCATCATTATCATTTTTTCCACTGTTACCGTTGTCATCTTTTGGTTTCTTTGCCTCTTGTTAAAGGGAAAGATTACGGATTATAATTTTTTAACATTAAATTATTATATTTTGAACTGTAAGATATTTGTAAAGAACATGACTGAAAAAAAATTATGGTCGATAATAAAATTTATAACTTTTAAAGGTTAAATTATATATATATATATATATCTATATTATTATAAAATATCAATAAAAGTTACAAACTTTTGATTACTAATAATAATCTTAATAAAATAACTAATGTCAATATTATCCTTATAAAATTATAATAACAATATTAGTATTGTTTTATTTGTGCCTCCACCTAATAAAGACACTTTTGTGTCTATAAAACTTTTGGGGAAAGGCTATAGTACTGTCGGTTGTACTGTACCGAAAGTTATAATTTTTTAAAGTTAAATTACAATTTTTTTATAGTATAAGTTATAATTATGAAAAATTGAGATCAATACCGAAAATTCATTATCAATCACGAGTGTTTGTGATTGATCATAATTTTTTCTTGAACATTTATAACTTCTTTTCTCGAATTTATAACTTAAATATAAAAATAATAATCACCGATATCGGTACTAATATTTTTTTTTCGATATCGAAGATGTTCCCGCTGCACCTTATCTATTTCCGGTCTTCCTCATAATCTGCAACTTCTATTCTATAACAGTAGAAACTCTATAGATATTATAGAGCTATTTCTATTATGGGCCTAAGGTCTATTTTTATTTTTTTATTGTTGTTGCATCTGTCATATAATGGAATACACATGTGGGTTAGTGAATGCAAGGTTATTGGTCTGCTCTGACACAGTGGAAGAAGGAATACAAAGAAAATATGCGGATAGAACAAAGGTATTTTAAATCTAAAATCTAAAAAAAAAAGAACAAAAGAATATCTCTGAAAAAGTATATTATTCAATAAATAATTTATATTACGTAAAAAAATATATATATATGAACGATCAAAACCCTAATCGTTCTCATAATAAAAACAAAATCCCTAATTATACAAAAATTGTCAAAAATAAAAAAATTACAATCTAACTAATTAACATAAAATCACGTGTTGTCTGAAGTCTAACAAAAGTGACGGCACTGAATTCGAAATCTCTTATAATTTATTATTAATTTTTGATTTTTTTCCTCAAACGGACTTTGAGAGCCTAAATGATAGAATTCGGGTCAAAATTGAAGGAGCTCATGGCAAAATGATGAGTCTTGATCATTGGTCCGATCTAGATCAAACACCATTGATCTCAATCAATTCTGAATCCGACACATTTTACTTCTATTATCACTTTTTTACTTTTCATTAAACTTTGGACACACAACGAGATTCTTGCTTTAAGTAATCAACTGTCATAAGTTCTTCATCATACTCTGTCAATAAATATTGAAGAAACCATTCTCTTATGGTCTTTTAGCTCTGTAGTCTAGTGGATATTGTATATTTGAATCACCTTTAAATTTATCACTATAACCCATTAAACAGAACTAATATCTACTTTGATGGTGGAACAAGGGATAATTTGTCAATTCTTACATTATGAGTTTGAGTTTTTCTAATTGCATAAAATATAGTTTTAATTAATGCAAATGATTTTCAAGCAACTCCCTAATTTGAGANTGTGGGTGGTGCAAGCTCTGAAAGTGATCCCATTGGAATGTCCCATTTAGCTGAAGAGTGATGCTATTTGAACGTCCAGACATTTACTACATTTGTAAGTGTTTCATCACTGTTTTGAATGTTTTTATTACTGTTGCAATACCCAAAAAAATGATAAAAATAACTACCACAACAGTGATAAATTAACAACCAAAGGGATAATTTTTTTTATATCAAAAAAAAATAATAAAAATAATTACCACAACAGTGATAAAAAATACTCATAAAACTGATAAATCAACCAATGATAAATTTTTTAGTTATAAAATAGTCCATAAAAATAACTATTAAAATAGTAAATTTACGAGGTACGATATTTTTCTTTTTTTTTTAAATACCGTAATCAAGTCCTAATTTTTATGTCATTGTTATTGTTGAGATCAGTGTCGAGCCGACATTGAGGTGGGAATATAAGTCCCCATTCCCATCATTATCATTTTTTCCACTGTTACCGTTGTCATCTTTCCATTTGGTTTCTTTGCCTCTTGTTAAAGGGAAAGATTACGGATTATAATTTTTTAACATTAAATTATTATATTTTGAACTGTAAGATATTTGTAAAGAACATGACTGAAAAAAAATTATGGTCGATAATAAAATTTATAACTTTTAAAGGTTAAATTATATATATATCTATATTATTATAAAATATCAATAAAAGTTACAAACTTTTGATTACTAATAATAATCTTAATAAAATAACTAATGTCAATATTATCCTTATAAAATTATAATAACAATATTAGTATTATTTTATTTGTGCCTCCACCTAATAAAGACACTTTTGTGTCTATAAAACCTTTGGAGAAAGGCTAAAGTACTGTCGGTGGTACTGTACCAAAAATTATAATTTTTTAAAGTTAAGTTACAATTTTTTTATAGTATAAGTTATAATCATGAAAAATTGAGATGAATACCGAAAATTCATTATCAATTACGAGTGTTTGTGATTGATCATAATTTTTTCTTGAACATTTATAACTTCTTTTCTCGAATTTATAACTTAAATATAAAAATAATAATCACCGATATCAGTACTAATATTTTTTTTTCGATATCGAAGATGTTCCCGCTGCACCTTATCTATTTCCGGTCTTCCTCATAATCTGCAACTTCTATTCTATAACAGTAGAAACTCTATAGATATTATAGAGCTATTTCTATTATGGGCCTAAGGTCTATTTTTATTTTTTTATTGTTGTTGCATCTGTCATATAATGGAATACACATGTGGGTTAGTGAATGCAAGGTTATTGGTCTGCTCTGACACAGTGGAAGAAGGAATACAAAGAAAATATGCGGATAGAACAAAGGTATTTTAAATCTAAAATCTAAAAAAAAAAGAACAAAAGAATATCTCTGAAAAAGTATATTATTCAATAAATAATTTATATTACGTAAAAAAATATATATATATGAACGATCAAAACCCTAATCGTTCTCATAATAAAAACAAAATCCCTAATTATACAAAAATTGTCAAAAATAAAAAAATTACAATCTAACTAATTAACATAAAATCACGTGTTGTCTGAAGTCTAACAAAAGTGACGACACTGAATTTGAAATCTCTTATAATTTATTATTAATTTCTGATTTTTTTCCTCAAACGGACTTTGAGAGCCTAAATGATAGAATTCGGGTCAAAATTGAAGGAGCTCATGGCAAAATGATGAGTCTTGATCATTGGTCCGATCTAGATCAAACACCATTGATCTCAATCAATTCTGAATCCGACACATTTTACTTCTATTATCACTTTTTTACTTTTCATTAAACTTTGGACACACAACGAGATTCTTGCTTTAAGTAATCAACTGTCATAAGTTCTGCATCATACTCTGTCAATAAATATTGAAGAAACCATTCTCTTATGGTCTTTTAGCTCTATAGTCTAGTGGATATTGTATATTTGAATCACCTTTAAATTTATCACTATAACCTATTAAACAGAACTAATATCTACTTTGATGGTGGAACAAGGGATAATTTGTCAATTCTTACATTATGAGTTTGAGTTTTTCTAATTGCATAAAATATAGTTTTAATTAATGCAAATGATTTTCAAGCAACTCCCTAATTTGAGATCTATATTGAAAATGTCATCTGAGTTTTTAAGATGATTTTCCGTTACCAAAACCCGCTACCAAAAAATAAATATTTATCATTCATGAACACTTCTTATATAATCTCCAATAAGATACATTATTATTGAATTTAAATTCAACTCTATGACAATTTATTCATCCAAAAATACATATTATTGAAAGATATAGTAGTAAAAGAAGCTGACAAAAGGTCTGTAGCTGCCTAATTTTTGTTTAGGCGAGTGTCTAGACTTATAAACCTCTTATTCTTTGGCAATGTAGCATCAAACAGATGTGTTACATATTAGGTCAAACAATGGCGACCACTCCAAGAGCAACAACTGCAGCCATGAGAACTTGATATCCCGACGCCACGATCCCGGAGACTGAACTGGTTGGTGGTTTAGGTGCCGTAGCCGGTGCCGGNCCTGAATGATTATATATATTGTTCGTTATATATGATATACTGTGTACTTATGTATCTTAATGTACTACGAATCACCACTTAATGAGCAAGTTAATGACGTAGTTTTTTAAAATAGGTGTTTCAATTATNGGTAGTTAGGGGTGTCAATCATGTAGGGTTAAACAGGTGACGGGTGAAAAACATACAAACCCATACACGACACATTTAACAAATAGGTAAAAAATTTTAACACGAACCATTTAATAAACGGGTAACACGACACGAATCGTTTAACCCATTTAAAAATAACAAAAAAAAGGGAAAAAATTATTATTTTTACACTATTTTTTTTTCTTCCAACTGTACTTTCCTCGATTAGAGGAGTTCCAACCAAAAGTCTATGTGATAAGCAACACCCCAAAAATTAG